AACGGTTCAAAAATCGCAATACTGTAATTGACAGCTGGGAGTGCCGATCAGAATGAATCGTTTCCACCCTGCTAAGTTCTGTGCGCATTACCAATGCTGTACAGCGAGCGTGCAACCTTGGACTCTTCTGGCGACCTGGGCAACAACTGCTTAGCCATTCTATGCCAGTCTTGGGGATTTAAATTTCATCCAAGTTATGGTGAATACATGGTGAATAGTGGGGGTATAAGCGGGTGGTCACGAAAGCATGGGACATGTTTTTGGATCATCCCAATGGGGGATTGGAGATATTTCAGACCACCCAAAAATGTCCAAAGTCGCAAAATGTAACCTCCAAAAACGTTCCAGTTTATCAGAAAAGACCCGGGGACTGATTTTGGGGGGGGCTACAGTTATGGCACATATATCACCACACCCAGCTATGTCCAACATGATTCGCAAACCACGATGTAATCCACTTCTCACTGCCTGGCCCCTCTGATGCCCCAACCCACCCAGGGCATGGGTTCCACCATGTTCCACCGAGGGCACGACATGCCCAAGGACCGGAGCAGCATGTACAAGAGCGGAACGTCCTTGGTCGAAGCTGGTGAGCCTTCATCAAGGCCATATCCAACATCCGAGCCCTTAAATGGGCCCCAAATAGATGGATACATATATATATATAATTATCTATCTATCTATCTGTCTGTCTGCCTGCCTGCCTGCCTGCCTGTCTGTCTGTCTGCCTGTCTATCTATCTATCTTATCTTATCTTATCTTATCATATCTATCTATATATCTACCTATCTATCCATCGCTCTATCTGTCTGTCTGTCTGTCTGCCTGCCTGCCTGTCTGTCTGTCTCTCTGTCTGTCTGTCTCTCTGTCTGTCTGTCTTATCTTATCTTATCTTATCTACCTATCTACCTATCTACCTAACTATCTACCTATCTACCTATCTACCTATCTACCTATCTACCTATCTACCTATCTACCTATCTACCTATCTGCCTATCTACCTATCTACCTATCTACCTATCTACCTATCTACCTATCTACCTATCTACCTACCTACCTATCTACCTATCTACCTATCTACCTATTTACCTATCCATCTATCTATCTACCTATCTATCTATCTATCTATCTATTTATCTATCTATTTATCTATCTATCTATCTATCTATCTATCTAATTTTATCTAATCTTATCTAATATTATCTCATCTTATCTCATCTTATAATATCTATCTACCTTATCTTATCTAATCTATCTATCTAATCTATCAAATCTATCTATCTGATCTATCTGATCTATCCGATCTATCCTATCTATCTTATCTATCCTATCTATCCTTCTATCCTATCGATCCTTCTATCCTATCTATCCTATCTATCCTATCTATTCTATCTATTCTATCCATTCTATCTATTCTATCCATTCTATCCAATGTATCTATCTATCTATATCCAACGTATCTATCTATCTATCTATCTATCTATCGATCTATCTAATCTAATCTAATCTAATCTAATCTAATCTATCTATCTATCTATCTAACCTATCTATCTATCTATCTATCGATCTATCTATCTATCTTATCCTATCCTATCTATCTTATCCTTCCTATCTATCTATCTATCTATCTATTTATCTATCTATCTATCTATCGATCGATCGATCTATCTATATATCTATCTATCTTATCCTATCTATCCTATCTATCCTATCTATCCTATCTATCCTATCTATCCATCCATCCATCCATCCATCCATCTATCTATCTATCTGTCTTATCCTATCTATCCTATCTATCCTATCCTATCTATCCATCCATCCATCCATCTATCAATCTATCTATCTATCTATCGATCTATCTATCGATCTATCTATCTTACCCAATCTTATCTAATCTGTCTAATCTATCTAATCTCTCTAATCATTAATCTGTCTAGTCTGTCTAATCTATCTATTTTATCGATTCTATCTATTCTATCTATTCTATCTATTCTATCTATTCTCTCTAGTCTATCTAGTCTATCTATTCTATCTATTCTATCTATTCTATCTATTCGATCTATTCTATCTATTCTATCTATTCTATCTATTCTATCTATTCTATCGATCTATCCATCTATCCATCTATCCATCTATCCATCTATCCAGTCTATCAATCTATCAATCTATCCATCTATCCAGTCTATCCATCTATCCATCTATCCATCGATCCATCGGTCCATCGATCTTATTTATCTTATCGATCTTATCTGATCTGTTCTAATCTTATCTAATCTTATTATCTAATCTTATCTAATCTTATCTAAATTTATCTAATCTTGTATAATCTCAACTAATCTTATCTAATATTCTCTAATCTTATCTAATCTTATCTAATCTTACTTAATCTTACCCAATCTTAGCCAATCTTATCTAATCTTATCTAATCTAATATATCTATTCTATCGATTCTATCGATTCTATCGATTCTATCGATTCTATCGGTTCTATCGGTTCTATC